CTAAAAACAATCAAAGTTGAATCATCACTCGAGTTACTGTTAGGAAGAGAAGATAATCGTCTAAGGTGAATAATGTGTTAATAGGCACATTAAAGAATTGTTTTCAAGTATAAGAACCCAATAGTTTTTCCTTCCACCCATAGTAATACTATTTGTTGTAAGGTTTTGATGATTGTGAACAAATGATGATTATCTAACTAATATGTCTATTGAGATGTGCATGAACTGTATTGAGATGTCTATGAATAAGTCATGAAGCATGAAGATTGTTGAGAACAGATCAGATCATTATTGAAGATAGTTCCCAGCGTACAATGTATGAATCGTGCTTAAGTTCCTCAGGGGGAACACAAAGAGAAGAAGAGTTCCTAAGGGGGAACACAAAGATATGGAGTCTAAACGTACAAATGTATTTTAGACTTTATACGCAGTTCCTAAGAAGAATAAGAAGCAGTTCTTTGGAAGGAACAAGCAACAGTTTCAAAATGGGAACAAGCAAAGAGAAGTTCCTTTCAAGGAATAGAAGCTTTGGAGTAAAAGCTTCAAGATAGAAAAATAGCAGTATATTTTTCTAGGATTCATGTAAGTATGTTAGGAAAGATAAATTGTTTGGAACAAGCCTAAGGAACCAAATTGGAACTTCAATCTCGAAGGAACTAACAGTCTGGAAAGAACTGAGTGTTGCTGACCAGCCATTTCCTTACAGGTCAATCTAAAATTTGTTTATAGGAGAAACACGAGTTTGCACAGCATTAAAAGTCATTTTTCAACGTCAATAGTCATTGACTCATTGCATTATCTTTGCCTACTTTCTAGGTAAATAGTTTTGACTAAGTATAATTTAATTTATATAGATTTTATTTTATAAACGATAAGTTTTTAAAATAAAATATGATTTTGATATTAGTCAAAAAGATAATTTATTCTCCTTATCTTCTCCTATATTTTAGGGATTTGTTTTTAGGTTGTTTCCTATTTAATCTCTAATTAATTTAATATTTCACATTAAATAGGTTAGTTATTTTAGGATAAAATATTTTTAATAAAGCATCTATTTTTAATAAAATCTAAATCAGTTTTTAATTGATAAAAATCTAATTTGGTTAGGATTATATTATTTTATATTTTCTATTTTTATTAAGTTTTTGGAAAAATAAAAATACTTTTCACGTTTAATTTGAAATAGCTTTTTACAAGAGAAAAATAAGATCATGGAGAACATGTTTTTTACTCCAATCCATGTCTTCCATTACCTCTTATGTTCATGGAGATAATGGAGATAATTCCTAGAGTTTAGAAAGCATTACTATTATGGTTACGTTTAAGATCATGGGGTGAATGGGTTTGTCTTTAATGCAATATAAAAAGAGATGTTTTCATTTATTCCAAGCTATCTAGCTTAAGTGAGTCATTCCATAATGGAGTTGGTCCCAAGTGGTTGAGAAGTAGAAAAGAAATATATTTTCTCTCCACATTTGTGAGCTAGTTCCTCTAGGTTCCAAGTTCCTTACATATCTTAAAGTGTCCAACATATTAGTATTATACACTATATCTTTTATATGTATTTGAGAGTTGTTTAAGGGTTTGAGTGAACTCTTATAATGGGGAATTTATAAGGGTTTAAGTGAACTTTTGTATTAGGGTGAGAACTTGAGGGAGTTCTTTGTATGTAAAGAAAGCTTTGAGTGAAGCTTGAGAGAAAAATAAAGAGTAAGGCTTTGACTGGAGTCTTGAGTGAGAAGAGAGGTTTTTGAGGGATGAATTCGAGCTGCAACTATTAAAGGGAATAGTTGTTGGGGATATGAGTTTGTTGAGGAACTCGGTATAGACTCAAGTTCCTCAAAGGTTGTAACAGAGCCGTTGGCCTATTTTAGTGGAATGTTTTAAGTCAAAATCCCCTGGGATCGAGGTTTTTCACTTCCTATTTGGCCAAGGAAGTTTTCCTCATAAAATCTCTCTTGCACTATTTCTCTATTGTGTTAAGTTTCTTTTAATTCCGCGAAAATTGACTAGCAAGCTCCATACTACAATTCACCCCCTCTTGTAGTATTTCATCTAAATAACACTATAAATCAGAGCAACCTAAAAAGGATAATGTTGACCATTATTTAATATCCATTGCAAAAAGATAGCTCAGGATGCATCTCAATTTATTTAGCTACTAAATGAGGCACTCGGGTACTTTAGTTTTCTTGTAGGTATGGATGTGAATCATGTGATAGCACAACCAATACATCCTGTAAACTAATTGTGTTTCTTGTAATCTATTTGCCCTAATTTTTTACAGTGGTCCCTCTCTCTCTCTTATTTGGTAAATCTATTTCTTAAGCTAATTCCTCTAATTTTCATAAGTGATCTTTCATCTTTCTTCTTTTTTTAAGTGATCTCTCTCGAATAATCATTCTTAAGTGGTTGATCGATCTCCCTATCTCTTTCTCAATTGACCAATATTTAGATAATTTAGAGTGAAATCTAACATTCTATAGCTCAATTGAATTAAATCGGAAATTAAACTCAATGACCTAAATGACTACTCGATATACTAACATTTTACAGCTAAATAAAATACAATCAATTAGTAATTTCAATTCATTCAGAAGAACAATACTCAACTAATAAATCAAACACCCAAATCAGGAAGCTCAACAAAGAGAAATCAAACAAACCCCAAAAAAATATATAAAAGTAAGGTAATTATACTTCGAGTATCAATTTGACAGTATTTACCCAGACGTCACTATATATATAAAAGCATGGTAATTGTATCAAATTTGACAACATTTACACAGGGATCACTATATATAAAAATAAGATAATTATATCAATTTTAATAGTATTTACAACATATATAAAAATAAGGAAATTATATCACATATAAAAATAGATTATTAAATAGATACATGTATGATTCATTGAGTCACTATAAGCTTACGTAGGATTCGAATCTACATCTTGTGAAATCTCAGTGCTCTAACAATTGAGCTAATAAGCTTCCAACACAACAAACAAAAAGACTACCTCATTTATTGATGATCATCCCCTCTTGCCAAATAAACTCCAGCCTCTTCCATAATAGATGGATCACTTAGACCCAAAAATATAGTTTTCATCACTTTTTAGTTTTTACCAATACTTTATTTTTACAAGTCGAAGATTGGGCCATAAGTGGCCTTAGAATAATTACATGTCAAAGATTGGTAAAAAGTTATTTCATGTTGGTAGGATAATTATAGATCGCCAAAGCTATTACAAGTCAAAGATCATCAAAGTGATTTTTAACACCACATAAAAGCGAATCTTAACACCACAAAAAATCAAAAATCTTAGGGTTCGTTTGGGATTGTTGTGGTTTTCTATTTTTTTGGTTTTTTGGTTTTTTAAAAGTATATTATATATGTCCCATAATGAATCAAAAATTACTTAAACTTATTAAAATCATGATAATTATGAAAACTGACAACTGAAAAGTGGAAACACCTTTTTCTTGTTTCTTGTATTTGGTTTTTGGTTTTCGGAAAAACAAGAAACTAAAAACCAAAAATAATGCCAAACAAACCCTTAACAAGTCAAAGTGATTTTTAACACCACAAAAAACCAAAAAAAAAAAAAATTAACACTACAAAAAATAGTTTTGATTTTAACAGCATAATAAAAATTTGGATTTTATCACAACTTAACGGATGCCGTCTCAAAATGGACGAAATCTATTAATGAGGTTTATTGCTTCTGTTTAGGCATGCGTTTAGCATGCTCTTAGTTTTTTATTATTACATATTTTATTTCTTAGATTTTAAAAGCTCGGCAAAGTTAGTTACATTCTCAACCAGAATGTTGTATATATTGCATGTATACTCCTCTTTCTTCCTTAACTTAATGAAAATCTTCTCATAAATATTCTCTGATTTTCTCTCGAATTCTCTTGAACTTTTTAGAAAACTTTATCAAGAAAATCAAGTTTTCACATGGTATCAGAGCCATTAGGTGCTCGTTTCCACTAATTTTCTCTTCGATTCTCTCGATTTCTTCTTCGATTCTTCAATTTCTTTCGTCCTCTTTAATTTATAATGGCTGATTCTGGTGATTCTAGAGCAAATTCTACAAATTCTGGTGTGAATTTCAATGATCCTTACTATCTTCCTAATAGAGATCATCCAGGTATGCAGCTTGGAAGTCACGTTCTTACTGGTGCGAACTTCACTCATTGGAGTAGAACTGTTAATATGGCCTTGATTGCTAGGAATAAACTTGGATTTTTCAATGGTAGTATTCCTATGCCTGATTTTGATAGTTCACATTACCAGAAAAGGCTAAGAAACGAGATTATATGATAATGAGTTGGTTGCCGAATTCAATGGATAAGAATTTAGCTGAGAGTTTCTTGTTTGCTAGTTCTGCTACACAATTGTTGAATGAATTGAAGGAGAGATTTGGACACTCGAATTTGCCTCAATTGTTTGATTTACATAGGAGTTTGACTCGGCAGAATCATGCTTCTATTGCTGAACATTTTGGTAATCTGAAGAGGATTTGGGATCAACTTTAGATTCTTGAAGGTTTTCCTGATTGTAGTTGTGGTGCTATAAAGAACTGTTCATGTGGAATTCTCAAGAAAATCTTTGAAAATAATCAACGACAGAAGTTGATGCAATTGCTTTGTGGTTTGAACAAGTTCTTTGATTTTGTTAAGACAAATTTGTTGAGTGCTGATTTTATGCCATCTATTAACAAAGCATATCATACTCTTCAACAAATTGAGCAGCAGTAGAAACTTAATGGCATGATTGTTGTGTTTAATTTTGAGATGAATGCGTTTAATGCAAGTAGATCTTCTATTTCGAGGTACACTTCTCAGAATGCTCAAAAACAGTTTGGTAATATGAAGAGAAATCTCAAGAAGATGAGATATGACTTGAAATGCGATCATTGTAAAACAAAAGGTCATTCAATTGACCAGTGTTTCAAGTTGATTGGATATCCTGAGTGGTGGTCTAATGCGAAGGGTAAATCAATTTTTTCTTCCTCAAAAATGGCTGCAAATGTTGGTTCTGTCGGTATTTTTGGAAGTGGACCTCATGATAGTACTGAATGCTCAACTGCTACTGGAAATTTGAATGTTGTTGCTTCTGGTGTTGATCCTGTTATGGTTAACAGAGTTTATCATGAAGTTGTCAAGATGATGAAGTCTAAAGGTGATTATGCAGATTCTGAATTGGACAATCCTCTAGCCAGCTCGGTCGATTTTGCAGGTATCTCTCAATCAAATGGTTTTCAATTTAATAGCATGAACTGTATTATAAACACTGGTGCTTGTGATCATATGGCATGTTCCTTGGCATTGTTTGATTCCATTAATCCATTATTAGGTTCTTGTCTAAATGTTAAGCTTCCTGATGGATCTTTTGTGTTAGTCATATACTCAGGCACTGTGAAAATTAATTCACTAAACACTTTGTTTGATGTATTATACATACCTAATTTTAAGCATAACCTTCTCTCTGTTAGAAAATTGCTCCTTACACATAATTTGCTAGCCCATTTTGAAAGAGATTTTTTTTTGTATTTCAGGACCTTGCAACTAAAGAAGTCAAGGCATCTGGTTCAAGAGTTTCTAGTCTTTAAAAAATGAATAAGACTATTTGTCCCGTTTCTCTAAATAAGCATGTTGCAGTTGTTGCTAACAATCCTTTTGCTTTTTCTAGTTCTAGTTCTAGCACTAAGATTGTTCATGCTAGATTAGGGCATGCTTCTCTTAGCAAATTGAAGCATTTACAACTCTGTTGATAATAAAACACATAGTATTGATTGTGAAGCATGTGTTTTTGCCAAGCATCATAAACTGCCATTTCCAGTGTCTAGTTCATTGGCTATTAATCCATTTGATTTAGTGCATATTGACCTTTAGGAGAAGTACGGAACACTATCCTTTATGATAATACCAGAACAACTTGGGCTTATTTGCTTCACAATAATACTCAAGTTTGTTCTGTTATTTCTGGTATTCTAGCTTATGTTGAGACTCGGTTTGGTACTAAGGTGAAGAGTATAAGGAGTGACAATTGTATAGAGTTTATTCAAGAATCTTGTTCTGATTTGTTAGCTTCTAAAGGCATAGTTCATCTGAAAACTATACCTAGTAACCCCCATCAAAATGTAAGAGTAGAAAGGAAGCAAAAACATATGTTGGAGACTGCTAGGGCCATCAGATTTCATTCTGGTTTACCAATTATATTTTGGGGAGATTGTTTGTTAGCTGCAACTCATATTATCAATTTGTTGCCTAGTTCTGTTCAAGATTAGAAGACATCTTGTGAATTGCTTTTCAAAAAGGCACCTAATTATTCACATTTGAAACTAATTGGTTGCTTTGTTATTCTGTTCAGAAGTTGGCTGACAAGTTTTCTCCAAGGGCTAAGAAGTGTGTTTTGCTAGGCTATCCTTTTTCTTAAAAGGGTACAAGTTATTTGATTTTGATTCTAAGAAGATTGTTCTGAGGAGGGATGTTCATTTTGTTGAACATATTTTCCCATTCAAATCTTCAGATTCTCTTCTACTTTTGAGTTTTCTCCAATTTCCTCACCTTTGGTTAATCCTGCCCTTGTTTCTTCTTCTTGTCCAATTTCACTTCCTCAAAATTCACATTCACCAATTAATCATTCTTCTTCTTCCTTTTCTGATCATTCTCTTCCTAATTCTCCTTTTCTACAAAATGATATTTCCAATTCACCATTTCTTTCTGAAAATTCTAATGAGTTTTCTGAATCTTCTATTTCTCATCCTACACCTGAACAGGTTAGAGTGTCCACCAGACCCAAAACCTTACATGTGAAATTCAAGGATTATGTTCTACCTACTCTTTTTCATATTCATGAACCCAAATCCAGTCTATCAACTTCCTTTAATGTTTTTGTTGAACCTAGCTTAAGTTTTCTTCCTGAAAACTCTCTTACCAGTCTTGCAAATATGTTACGTTCTCAGCCTGAACCCACTTCCTATAAACAAGCTGTTCAGTTCCCTGAATGGAGAGAAGCTATGCAAAAGGAATTGGATGCTCTTGAATCCAATGATACTTGGGAGGTTACAGATCTTCCTACAGGAAAGAAAGCTATAGGTTCAAAGTGGGTCTACAAGACTAATAGTATAGACTTGATGGTTATATTGACAGGTGTAAATGAAGGGTAGTTGCTAGAGGTGATAGACAAGTACAAGGCAAAGATTTTAAGCACACTTTTAATCCTGTAGCCAAGCTTACTACTATCAGAACTCTGATTTCTCTTGCTACTGCTAAGGGTTGGGATATACAACAATTAGATATTAACAATGCTTTTTGCATGGTTATATTGATGAGGAAGTATTCATGACTCAACCTCAAGGACATTCTGTTCCTGATAGGAAAGTTTGTAAACTCAAAAGGTCTTTGTATGGTCTTAGGCAGGCTTCCAGATGCTGGAATATTGAATTGAGAAATTTCTTGTTACAACAAGGTTATATTCAGCCCAAGCAAGACTACTCAATGTTTATCAGGAGTATTGGTGAATCTTTTAATGTTGTCATTGCTTATGTTGATGATCTGCTGATTTCTGGTAATGATTCTGCTGAGATTTCCTCCTTGAAAGCCAGACTTCACTCTACCTTCACTATCAAGGATTTAGGTGCTTTGACATATTTTCTTGGGATTGAGGTCTCAAGATTGAAATATGGAAATTTGCTGAACCAGAGTTGGATATGTTAACTGATATGCATTTGTTGGATTGCACTCCTGCTACCTTTCATGTTCCTAAGGGTGTCATTAAGCAAGTTTGAAGGTGTTCCCTTGCCAGATCTTGAGATTTACAGGAGAATTGTTGGTAAACTCTTATATTTGAATCTTACCACGCAGATATCTCTTTTTTAGGACATTAATTGAGTCAGTTTTTGAGTGACTCTAGAGATATTCATTTATCTATGGCAAAGCATGTTCAAAAGTACTTAAAAGGGACTCTGAATGTTGGTATCTTTTATTCTGCAAATGCTGATTTAAAGCTAACAGCATATAGTGATGCAAACTGGGGTACTTGTATGGATTCAGGGAGATCTTTAACAGGTTATACGATTTTTCTTAGGGGCTCCTAAATATCATGAAAGACTAAGAAGCAAAAGGTTGTCTCCAAAAGTTCTACTTATACTAAAGTTGAGTATCGTTATATGAGCAAGATTGTTGATGAGATACAATGGCTGGAAAGATTGCTTGATAAGCTTGGAGTTTGTGTTCCAACACCAATTACTCTATTTTGTGATAATATGGCTACTCCGCATATTGCTGAAAATCCATGTTTTCACGAAAGAACAAAACATTTGAGGTCCAAACATCAAAAACTTGATGTTCATTATATTAGAGAAAAGGTTTCAGGAAGGTCTCATTTCCTGTGTTCATGTTCGTTCTGCTCTTCAACTTGCAGACATCATGACTAAGGCCCTAGGTGCTAATCAGCATTGTTTTCTTTCTCTCAAGATTGGTCTGGTTTGTCAACTAGTTCAATCTTGAGGGGGGGTGTTGAGGCATGCGTTTAGCATGCTCTTAGTTTTGTATTATTACATATTTTATTTCTTAGATTTTCTAGCTCAGCAAAGTTAGTTACATTCTCAAACAGAATGTTGTATATATAGCCTATATACTCCTCTTTCTTCCTTAACTTAATGAAAATCTTCTCATAAATTTTCCCTGATATTTTCTCTAAATTTTTTCTCGAATTCTCTCAAACTTTCTGGAAAACTTGATCAAGAAAATCAAGTTTTCACAGCTTTCATTTCCCCTTTTTTCCACGATTTTTTCAATCTCCATTAACTCAAGCTTTTAACCTCCATTTCTTTTACCTTCATTAATATTTGTTCCATCATCATTTTAAATTCATCGTGTTTTCAACAAATTTAAACAATACCCACTTTTCTCCTTTTTTTTTTTTTTTTTTTGTTCTTCAACAACAATAATAGTGTTTCTTTATAAATTGATTAAAATGTATAAATCATTGGCACTTTAATTAGCTTATAGTATGTTTAATTGATTTCATTTGTTTAACTTAAAAATCCCCAATTTAATTTGAACATAAACACCCCCCTTATGAAATTTGATAATTAATATTGGTGTTTTATGCGGCAAGGGCATGAGTTTTCGCTAGTTAATATTAGGATAGTTTTCAAATGGCTACAATTAAATTGTAGCCACCATATTAAATAAAATTATAATCATCTATTTTTTATTGACTAATATGAACCATTGGTATGGTCAACTTTTAAATTAACAAAAAATAATCGGAAAAAAAAAATGTCAGTTTCTCTTGATTTAGAGTAGTTATTTTTTGGTTTTTCTCCTCAATCTTGTTTGAGTTCTCTGAAGGAGGAAATGGAGAGTAGGATTTCTCACAAAATTCGTTCCACAAGTTATTTACTAACTAGTTTGTAATTTTGTATATAGATTATGGAAAGAATATTTGAAATCTATCTACTCCCTCCGTCCCCGAAAAAACGACCCATTTGGTCAAATTTTAGTCCCAAAAAGAATGACCCATTAGCATTAAAATACGCACCAATTTGCAACAATATTTGTGCAAAATTAGCTTCCCCATATAAAATTTTGTTTTTCCATGTACTTTTATTACTATCTCTCTCTAGTTTTTTATAAATGTCATGTAAATTTATCTTTCCAATGTACTTTTACTTTTTTTATTTAACTTTATTAATACCCGCAAAATCAACCCAAATGGATCGTTCTTTCGGGGACGGAGGGAGTATAATACATGGAAGAAGACTAATTAGTTTTCCCCCAACTTCATTGATTCGGAAATCGGAATACATACACCTACGACCTGCATAGTAGTTTCCATCATAATGATTGGGGACCTGAAAGTTTTAGCCTTAATTGATCTGGGATTTCAAGTTTGTTAATACAGGAAAAATATGGTCTTATCATAAAACCTATGATTTTTATCTTATTGGATGCTGTCAAATAATTGGTTTCTTGTAATTAGAGACAAATCTTGCATTTTTTTTTTTATCTTCATCTTCCTCGCTTTTTCATTTTTCTGGTTTTCTTTTAGTGAATTGCTAAACACCTCCAACAAAAATGATCACCACCGCCAACATTCGGTGTGAATGGACAATCTTACCCTTATTACTTCACCACCCCTTATCCTCCCGGCGACCCATAACCCCTTCCGATTGGCGATGACCATCACCACCACCCTGATCGACGACCCACCATATCCTCCTCTATGACAACCCACGACCTTCCCTCGCCGGCGAAAAGGTGGTGGTTTAATATATATATTTTTTATTTCAGGCAACCGCGGTAACCGGAGCCCAAAACCGGTTGCCGTGCGCGATAACCGGAGCCCAAAACCGGTTACCGTGCATGGTAACCGGTTTTGGGCTCCGGTTATCGCCCACGGTAACCGGTTTTGGGCTCCAGTTACCATGCACGGTAACCGGTTTGGTCTCCGGTTACCACACATGGTAACCGGTTTTGGGCTCCGGTTACCGTGCACCTTAACTGATTCCATGGTAACCGGAGCCCAAAACCGATTATCGTGCCCGGTAACCGGTTTTGAGCTCCGTTTGGTACAGTTGTCAGAAAAAAAAAAACCACCACCTTTCCGCCAAAGAGGGAAGGTGGTGGTTCATCTTTGAGGGGGATGTGGTGGGTCGCTGATCAGGGTGGTGGTGGTGGTCAACGCCGGTCAGGGTGGTTGTGGTGGTGGTCGTTGTCGGTCAGTGTGGTGGTGGTGTTAGTCGTCAATTGGGGTGGTGGTGTCAAGGTGTTAGTGATTGGTGGCAAGAGGGAAGATAGTGGTGACGTACTAAGGGTATGGTTGTCAATTTACACTAAATGTTGGCGGTTTTGATCATTTTGGATGGCGGTATTTAACACCCCCTTGTTTTATGCATCATGGAGGATGATTTATAAATTTAATGGAAAAATTATACTCTATAGACTAGAGTACTACATATTAGATTTATTGTTGATAAACTAGAATCAAATGTTAATTTTAATGGATATATACTGGAGATTCCTTTGAACTTAGAAATTGCAGGATCCATGGCAGGTTTTTTTTTTTAGTCATGTGAGTGGATGGACAAGATTGGTCATTAAAAATAAATGGCCAAGATTAAAACTAATACAATAGCTACAATTTTATTGTAGCTATTTAATAGTCTTCTGTTAATATTAATTTAGAAACTATTTTAAACTTTAAAGGACTACCTAACGCCCCAATGACATTCGTTTAGAAAAATCTTTTTTAAAATCTTTTTAAAAATTAACTTTGGCACTGAACTACAAAAATGGCCCAATTAATTTCACTCTAAATTATTTTGCCATTGGTCTTTGGGCTTGTATTTATAATCATACATAGGTGATATCTTTTGGGTTACTCCGTGTTTCACAATTCTCATAGTATTATATTGAATCCTGTGACTTGCAAACTAAAGAGAATAAAGAGAGAAAACTTGGGGAGGAAGAAGAGAAGATTGAATTGTATTGAATGAATGAGTAAAAGAGAGCTAGAGCAGAATATATACTGCTGCTAGAAGGTTCTTACAGAAAGCATAACAAACTTTGTAACTAACTGCTTACATCATTAAATAACAAATTAATATCTCTAACAAACTCATCCTACGTGGCATGAGTAATATCAGTACCAACAACCCCCCTCAAGCTGGAATGGATGTCAGAAGCATACATGACTAACTTGGACTTGAGCTTTGTATGCTGATGTACTGGTAAAGCCTTGGTCAGAATATTAGCTAATTGCTCTCCACTAGGAACATAAGTAAGTTCCAATAAGCCCTCCAAGACCTTTTCTCTAGTGAAATGGCAGTCGATTTCAATATGTTTTGTCCTTTCATGAAAGACAGGGTTCTTCCCTATATGAATTGCACTTTGATTGTCACACCTCAAAGTAACAGGCTGCAAATTGAATACTCCAAGATCCTGTAACAATCTTACAATCCAAGCAACCTTAGATGTTGTAGCTGCCATAGCTCTGTATTCTGCTTCACTAGAACTTGTTGAAGTGGTAGACTGTTTCTTTGATTTCCAAGAAACAGGTGAGCTACCCAACAATAGAATATAGCCAGTAACAGACTTCCTAGTATTAGGACAAGCTTCCCAATCAGAGTCAGAATAAGCTTGTAGAGTTAGCTTATCAGTGGCTTTGAGAAGAATTCCTTGACCAATAGTGTGAGCGTCATATCTCAATACATGATGCAGTGCTGTAACATGTGGAATTCTAGGTTGATTTAGAAATTGGCTGAGAGTTTGAACTGAAAAAGCAATATCCGGCCTTGTATGTGATAGAAAGTTGAGTTTTCCCACCAAACTTCTGTACAACTCAGGGTCTGAATAGAAATCACCAACATCACATTGCAGTTTAAGATAAGTAGGAAGAGGAGAATGAGCTATCTTAGAGAGGTCCATCTGACAACCTTGCAAAAGTTCCTTAGTGAATTTCTTTTGTGTCATGAGAATACCAGAAGCAAAATGATTAATCTCAATTCCAAGAAAGAAATTCAGCAGATCTAAATCCTTAATGCTGAATTTAGAATGCAGATGATTCTTAAAAGATTCAATCTCTTTTTCATCAGAACCAGTGACAATAATGTCATCAACATACACACCAGCCATGACAAAAGAAGTTTTATACCTTTTTAAGAACAAAGAATAGTCATTCTTAGATTGAATATAGCCCATACTCACCAATTCTGCTGTCAATTTGGCAAACCATTGCCTAGAAGCTTGTTTTAGCCCATATAATGACCTTTTAAGTCTGCAAACCATGTTTTTAGGATTCTGCATCCCCTCAGGTACCTTCATATATACTTCTTCATTCAACTCGCCATGTAGAAAAGCATTGTTGATGTCAAGTTGATGCAATTTCCAACTTTTACTTGCAGCAATTGACAGTATGCATCTAATAGTGGCCATTTTAACCACTGGTGAGAAAGTTTCCAAATAGTCTATGCCATACTTCTGAGTGAAACCTTTAGCTACTAATCTAGCCTTCAATCTCTCCACAGTGCCATCAGCTTTTAGCTTGACTTTAAAAAACCCATTTACAGCCTATAGGTTTCTTGCCCTTAGGTAAAGGAACCAATTCCCAAGTATTATTTGTTGTCAAGGCATCAATTTCTTTCTACATAGCTTCCACCCATTCTGGATATTGAGATGCCTCAAAATAACTCACTGGTTCACTAATCTGAGACACTTTATTGATCAAACTTTTGTGTCTGAAGGAATCACTTCAAACTGCACAATGTTACACCAGTGCTCAGTTACAGAATCTGCTATCAGACAAAGTTGTCAAAGTGTTTAGGCCAGTTTTTAGTCTAGATGATTGTCTAACTGGAACTGGTGTCTCAGGATGGGATATGGGGTTAGGATTTTGCTGAGAGAGAGCGTGAGTTGCAGAATTGGAAACAGGACTAGAAGCAGGACTGAGAACAGGACAGATAACAGGATTGTGTGAGTTTTGTGGTGTATTTTGTAATGGTGAGGTTGGCTGGGAAATTTGATTGTCTGTGGGGAAGAGAAAAGGTTCTGGAATCTCATAGTATGTGTCAAAATCAAGTGGTGTGGTTTCAGGCAAGAAGATAGGTAATTTAGGCCTGGAAAGGGTTGGATCAAAATGGTAAGGGAGATGTTTTTCATAGAAAATAATGTCCCTAAAGACAATTATCTTATTTGTTTCAAGACTCATCACTCTATAAGCCTTTTGATCAGGAGGGTAGCCAAGAAAAATACAGGGTCTGTTGGATCAAATTTTGCTCTGTCACTTTTCAAAGTAGAGACAAAATACAAGCAGCCAAACACTCTCAAATGTTCTAGCTTAGGTTTTACACCATTCAACATTTCATATGGTGAACAGAACTGCACACTACTTAGTGGTATTCTGTTAATGATGTGTGTAGCACATAGCAGGCAATCTCCCCAGAATCTGACAGGAACCCTAGACTGGAAATATAAACCCCTTGCTGTCTCAAGTAAATGCCTGTGCTTTCTCTCAACTACCCCATTCTGTTGGGGAGTGTCAGAACAAGTTCTTTGATGAATAATGTCTTTTCCATTATACAGGAACAAGATATCTCCCTCACAAAGTTCTTTAGAATTATCGGTTCTAATGCTTACAACTTTAGCTTGAAACTGATTTTCAATCAAAGTAACAAGATTAGTCAAAACAGCAACAACTTCAGTTTTATTTTTCATTAAAAAGGTCCAAGTATGCCTTGAGTAGTCATCAACAACAGTAAGAAAGTAGCTGTAACCATCATGAGTTTTAACTCTATATGGTCCCCAAGTATCTACATGCAGCAACTCAAAACATTTCTTGCTTCTAGAAGAACTAGAATCAAAAGGTAATCTAGTTTGTTTGGATTTATGACAAACCTGACAAACTGTATCACAGCCAACAGCACAACCAAATTTCTTATTAACTAGATGCAACTTATCAAAAGGAATGTGCCCTAGTCTAAGATGCCATAGTTTGGCTTCTTCTGAACTACTTATTAAAGAAGTACTGACAGTAGAATTGTCCTGCAACTTGTGCTGCCCAGCATCACCAACAGCATACAGACCAAAGTTCAGATTACCAAGAACCAAGGATTGATTTGAAATTGGATCCTGAATTAAACACTTATCATGAGTGAAAGTGACTTCAAAATTCAAATCCTTAAACAGTTTATGTGTAGAAATCAGGTTGAATTTAAAACCAGGTACATAAAGAACATTATCAAGTTGTATGCCATTGTCAAATTTAATTGTGCCTATATGATTAACTGCTACTCTTTTTCCATCAGGAATAGTAATAGTATTAGGATACTTGTCTAAATTTCTAAGTTCACTGAATAAATCAATATTAGAGCAGATATGATCTGTAGCTCCACTATCAATAATCCAGTTAGAATTAGAACAAGTAATTAGACAAGTACCTGCAAAATAGGCTCCTGCAGTTGACTCAGGCTGAGCAAGTGAACCTCTAGAGCTTGCATCAGAGTCCTGAGACTGCATATATTTCAAGAAGTTGTTGTAATGCTCCTAAGAAATATGAGTGATCTGAACATCTTCAGATTCAGAGCCCTGGACTTCATCATACCCTTGAACAACAGCTGCTACTCTCTTGCCTTTGAACTTGTTAGGATGATTTGGTGGATAACCATGAATTTTGAAGCACTTATCCACTGTATGACCAGGAAATTTGCAGTAATCACAGAACAATGGGTTTCTGTTATGCACTCCAAACTTATGAGTGTTATTACTTGCAGATTGATACTGAGGTCTTGAGAATGACTGAGGCTTCTTGTAGTCTGCAGTAAATGTCATTGCCTTATTTGCTTCTTCAGTTAACAAGCTCATTTCCTGCTGTTTTTCTTCTTGAATCAAAAGTCTATAAGCAAGAGAAATAGGTGGCAAGGGCTGCATCATCAGAATATTAGATCTGGTATTAGAGAATTTGTGATTCAACTTCATCAAGAGTTGAACAAGTCTCTCCTCCTTCTGTTGCTTCAAGAACTTCTGAGTTAGAGAACATGTACAATTACTACATGAACAAACAAGAATAGGATTCATCTCACTGATCTGATCCCAAACAGCTTTGATTTGAGTAAAGAAATCAGCAATAGTAGTATCAAGACCTTGAGATAGATCTGAGAGTTTCTGCTGCAATGTGAACAATTGTGGTCCTGAGGTTTGAGAATACCTCTCCTCCAAATCCTTCCAGATTTCTCTGGAAGTTGTCAGATATAAAACACTTTGTGCAATTGAAGTTTCAAGAGACCTCAGAATATAAGAAATGATAATGGCATCACATCTCTTCCAAGCAGCAAATGTTGGATCTGCAGAACTAGGCTTAGGAAGACTTCCATCTATGAAACCTAGCTTATTTTTGGCTGATAGAGCAATCATCATACTACGTTTCCACTCACCATAACCTTCTCCAGCAAATTTCTCTGAAATCAGAGATTGACTAGTATTTTCAGATGGATGAATGAAACAAGGACTAGCAGGATCTTGAGTAAGATTGAATTCTCAGGCACGATTAAGCAATTAAGAAACAGAGAGATGAACAATATATGAAGTAATTCCAGAAAAATAACAGAAAAACTGGAAAAATATGATCAAATTCTCAAGAACTAATTAAGCCGCAGAAATTTGATCAAAATCAGAAAAATCAATCGCAAAATTGCATACCTCAATCACAGAATCAACAGAAAAATGCGGAAGACGAAGATCAAACTTCAACAGAATTCAATTAATGGCTGATAAACAGTCGCTCTGATACCATATTGAATCCTGTGAATTGCAAACTAAAGAGAATAGAGAGAGAAAACTTGGGGAGGAAGAAGAGAAGATTGAATTGTATTGAATGAATGAGGAAAAGAGAGCTAGAGCAGAATATATACTGCTGCTAGAAGGTTCTTACAGAAAGCATAACAAACTTTGTAACTAACTGCTTACATCATCAAATAACAAATTAATATCTCTAACAAACTCATCCTACGTGGCATGAGTAATATCAGTACCAACATATTAGTTTTTTATTGAAGGTCCAAAATAGGATGGCTATATTAGAATCTAATTAAGCAGTACATTTAACATATATTTAACGATAGGTTTAATTATTTATATTGTCAATCTCCAATTTTTCATCATCAACTAGTGTTAGGCTCCGACGATGCCTCGAGTTATTACATTATTTCCATGATAAAAGTCTTTATTAATATTTAATTTTTATTAAATGACATGTAATATGATAATAGCTTAGTAGCTAACATGTTAAAGTTTAAACTTGAGATCATGGGTTCAAATTTTATATTCTTGTGATTCATATTAATACACGGATCTAGTATCAAATGTTAGAATTTAAAAACTAGTTTTTGAAATTTCACTAGAAGCATCTAAGTTCCCACACACAAGCAATGTTTAAGGTCTAATTAAGCATCAATTTTTCTTAAACATTTGAGCATTATATCTGTAGACAAAACATTTCAATTAACTCAATCTTCTCATTGAAGTTATAACCAATGGAACATAAGTAAATAACACTTACATTTTCTTACTTTTGACATATATTACCCCTCATTCATATTACATTTTAATAATGATAAACTAAAATCGATCATCTTCCTCACAAGTGAAAACCTTAAAAAACATCACTTCACTAATCACTAATAAGACTACCAAACGTACAGTGACAAGAAAAGGCATGCACACACACACATAATTCAACTACATTATAACATCCATCTCACTTATATAAGGACGGACAACTTAGTAGTTCACAAACATGTCGGGTTAAAAGGTTTTCAAACTTTTTGATCAAATAAAACGCTGTTGTTACATCTATTAAACCTAGTATTGCGAAGAACCATTGCGCCCTACAGACGAGCCCTTAGTCTTAAGGAATGATCCAGTCTTGGTGATTTCGCGCAATGGCTTGTCAGTGAACCTTATAAGATTGTACACCATTGCACCAGCTATAGCTCCAGCAGTTGGTCCAACAAGGTATATCCATATGCCCTTATAATGGTGTGATACGATTGCTGGCCCTAGGCTCCTTGCTGGGTTCATTGAAGCTCCAGAAATTGGCCTGTTGTCATTCAAGAAAGTATTAATTACTAGTATTAATGATCAACTGCATGAGGCAAGTTCAAGAGAAATTGTTTGTTGCATATATAAGTACGTACATCAACTAAGTTACATTAATACGTACATATATTGCTTGTAACAATACTAACCAGTGTGTGCATAACATGTGTCTATACGAACATACGTGATCTTAATTGGTGTGAATCCTTACTCACGTACTAGTCATGTGCATTGTACGCTAGCAAATGTCGTGATGCCACGTACACACATGCCACATGACAACATTGAACCATAAAACATGGTGGTTCAAGATAAAGGATACAAAAAATGGGCAAACATGGTTTGACTTTGATATTAAGGAACCTTCATAAACATATTGTGTATACTACAAATCTACAATAAGAAGCAATAATCATCAATATTTCTTTAAGGAGCCCAATAATTTAGACCAAATCGCCCCATTAATGTGGAGTTGGATCACCCTTTTAATAAATTACATAGAACACGCAATGAAGTCTATGATAAGATCATTAATGTTCTAATAATTTGTTTTGCAGTATATAGAGAATGAGTAAACAATTATGGAGTACTCCTTGGCCCCTCCTACTTTAATACGGAGTTTCTTTTTATTTATTTATGACAAAATAGCTATCCGATCAGGAAATAACTTTTTGAGACAGAGTGAGTATATTATTTCGCACTTTTCGAGTAAGAAGAAAGAAAGGAGTGAATTGTATATACCCAGCAAACATGACGTTAAGTAAGACGGTAGATCCAACAGCAAGACCAGCAAGCTCTCCAATCTGTACAAGCAACAAATGAAAATCACGTAAATACAATTAAAATACAGCGCAGCATCACATCTCTTGCATACAATCATACATGGACAACATGGTTGTTAATAGTAATTCAATATATAGGTAATTTTCTTTAATTAAACACTTACATCGCTTTCACAATAATAGTTAATAGTAAGTTGAGCTGAATTATTGCTTATAAAAAGTACTATATTTATGTTACATATATAGTCTTAACTCTCAACCAATTACAACAGGTTTGATACTATTTGTTACTCGTATTTATTAGCTCCCAAGAGTTGTTTTAGTTCACACATTTCTTTATACATGTTACTAATAAGTTGGTGCGAAATCATCAATAGATAATATGTATGGTATTAAATAAGAATAAAGAGAACCTGACACGAACTTACAGCTCGATTATCCGTAGCAACACCGGAAATGACAAACATGAGGTAGAAGGTTATAATGAATTCCATGACTAAAGATTGAATGTTTGTTCCAGCCGGAGATGTCCCAAAAAATTGAGTTTGATGTCCATTGAATATAAGTCGCAAAGTTCCGCTTGCTAGTGTAGATCCCACTACTTGACATATTACAAATGCTGGCACCTACACATAATGAATTTTACATCAAATTAAGACTATTTAAAATTTAATTTATCCATTCAATAATGTTTTTACACACTTAAAAACAAAAAAAAAAAAAAAAAAAAAAAAAAAAATAGAAAAAGAGATTTTCATTTTTACTTGCATTACTAGGAGTTGACAGTAGAGAATTTGATATTTTGATGAACAAAAAGGAAAGATGCTTTATAATCTTCTAGTATTATTAAGAAATAATTAAGAATCTTTTTTTAATGTTAAATAAGGAAGTTCTAGATTGTATCTTTATAATTATTTCATTAATAATTGGCCAAATAATAAATGATAAAAGTATGAAAATTGCATGAAATATACATTACCATTTTAAAGTGATCATAGATCTTATCTTTACTGAATTATTGATTCCAAGATTATATTTTTAAGGTATCAAATCAAATCAAATCAAATGTGATTAATTAATCAATCCTTAATTTGTACAATTTAGAAAAGTCAAAGGTCTTAGAAAGTTAGAGAATTGTTCACAAATGACAAACCCAATTCTCATACTATACCCGTGCATAACTTGAGATAATGAAGAATGGTCAGCACATATATAATATTTTTTATATTTTTTTTTATTTTCGATACAAAAAGTTACACGAAAGGATTATATTCAGCATATACAGACATTCGCAATTTTGTGTAACAGATAAAATTTATGAAGCCTTCCTCCTCGCCTTACAATTTATGGTTGAATTAAATCTCTATGTACACGTGATATATGCAGATGCTTGCTCATCAATCTTATTTTTGGTATAGTATTTGTTCTTATCCCTAATTTTTTTCTTGAATTTTTTTCATTTAATAAAAATATTACACACCATACAGTCATGCATAAATTCATTAATTGTCACTGATAGCACGTCATGGAGTGATGGAACTAACTTTCCTAAAGAAATTGCATCTATTACTCATACCACATTTAAAGAGTTAGCAAGTAACAGATGATGGAAGAGTGCTATAGCCAAAAATTAAAAGGGTGTTGGAAAATGCTAAATCAGCAAAAGTGATAAATTAGTCTTCATTGATAGTTGAAAATGATAAGTTAGCTAAAAGTTTGTCGTACTATGATGCTTTTTTTTTTTTTTAATTTCCTTTTAACATAGATACTAATAAGGACATATAATATAAAGTTGTAAGCAAAATTCAATCTCAAGTCTTAGAATGTATCACCCTCGAACCTCAAAGAAACTAAGCTTGAGAAATCCTACTAAGCTATTAAATTATCCAAATGGAGACACTACTAAACATTTCAAATATTAAAAATTAAAATAATTTTTGTATACGCGGAATATAACATATACTCTGTACTTCGATATACTATTTAAATTAAAGAAAATGTTTTTCACCAAAACAAAAAATTAAAAAATGATGGTCATCACTCTTTGTAAGCAATTCCTACCTAATTATCCTAATACTAGACTCTATTCTTTTAAATTTGGACCAAAAACAAAGCTTCAAAAGGACATTTTTAATTTTTAAACATTTGATTTGGTTAACTCGTGTACTATCTTACCATCTGATCCAAACACTTTAAGATAGGACTAACAGATCAAAATCATACACAATACAGCTATATATTACCATGCAGCATTAAAGTATGAAATACAAGGCTTAAATGTCCTACCAACTAACAACAAAACAAAAAACAAAATCAACCCAAAAAAAGATATGACATAAACATACATAATCAAGTAATAAAATTAGGTAGTAACAGTTGAGAAAATGAACCTGTTTCCATGGAAATCTGCGTGAAGTTGCAAAGGCAATTGTAACAGCAGGGTTAAAATGGGCACCAGAAATATGTCCAACTGAATAAACCATTACCATTACTACTAATCCCCATGTTATTGCAATTCCTGGTAATGTTACCACTTTTTCACCGTCTAAATTTACTGTTACCGCAGCACATCCTGCGAATATTACGAAGTATGTCCCTAAAACCTCTGCTATCATCTGTAGAAATCAACCAACACATTTTTATTACGTCAGCATATATGTCAGTTATATTGTCATTTATGAAGATTATGGATTTTATTATATGATCAAGTTTAATATGGTACGCAATTTAATTTTGACTGAAACAGTATGATATGATAATCTTTTGATGATATGTATAATCAAAATTGTTACCAATTGAGTCTGGTTAATTATATAATACGTCGTATTTTTATCATTTTTTTTTTAAAAAGGCGTATAATAATCAAGACTATTGGACCAATCGAGTTTAATTTAATATATAATAAGTCGAATTTTTTACATTATTATATGAAAACGTTGCAATGTCTTTATTTTTCCCTTTCATTACAATGACTATAGGAATCCAATCCTTTTTCCAAAACTAATTAAAAACCATTTAGAAGAACTATGGCCATTGTAACGTAAAATTAATTTTCCAATGTGAACAATAACAAAAGAAATGGTTATGTATTAAATATGTTCACAACTAATAGTCACAATGACACGCAGATCGTATCAATGACCAGTATCGTGACAGCTAAATTAAGGCAGGATGACAGATTATAAGAACGTAAAATAGGATAAGGATGAGATAAATAGTTACCTTCTGGAGAAAATGGACACTGAAACAAGAATTGTTCATGGAGTTGGAAGAAGACGATTGGTTGTTAGTTTCTTTAACGTTAATGGTAACTTCATGGTTGCCATTAGACCTTGCAACTTCACCCATTTTCTTTTGGTTTTGAGAGGAAAAAATAAATAAATAGAAAAAAGTTGAGAGAAATGGATAAATTTGGAATTGGTGGTACCTCCAAAATCTCAGGCAATTATCGTACTTATAAAGACCCCGAAATTACCCATGTATTATAAAATAAAATAAAATGAGTAGAAGCTTAAGTCAGAGTGGACGGAGAAATATGACTAAATGACTAATTCTTACGAGTATAATACGAAGTAAAAGAGAAGTATTGTAATTTATAAGGACTTGTGTTTGTTGGATGGGTTGACCATCACTATTTGTGAAATTACAATTTTGCCACATTTTCCCGTTTCCTTCACTTTTCTTTTGGACATTTAAAAAAAAATATTTTAAATTTTTTTTATTGATGATTGCTCTTGAGTTAAGCGGGTCATTTCACACTGTATATACTACCTCTGTTTCATATTATTTGCAACGATTAGACATTTTTTCTTCTTTATTTTATGTCAAATCGTTGCAAATAATGTGAAACGGAGGTAGTATTTAAATTTATTTTTGGATAATAACACACATGTATAGATTAATATTGTTACTAAGGCATTAGTCCGCATATCATAGTGAACACGATTTTTATCTTAGGAAGGATTGAATGTATTCCTGTATTTGTTTGCTTAGGGATAAATGTATAACAAACACCTAAATTAATAGGACATTTAAAAGCGTACACTAAATCTACGGAGTACTTGTTAGAAATATGAAATTGATAGAGTATAAAAACCTATTCCTGGATCTCAACAATAAACTTAAGCTTTTAGTTGAGTAGGTCCGTTAACATGGTATCGGAGCCAGCGTGACACAAAGGCCACGGGTTCGATTTTCATCCGCCCCTCCTTCAAAATGGAATTAATTCGCACCAGGTATGGGTGGGCCTGTGTTGCATTCACATTTCAAACCCAAAGGGCCTTTCATGTGAGGGGGAGTGATAGAGTATTAAAAACCTATTCCTGAACCTTTACCATGTTAACAGACCAACTCAACCAAAAGCCATAAGCTCATGATCGAGGCCCAGGAATAGGTTTTTATACTCTATCAGAAATATATAATCAATATTGAAAAATATTAAATCTTACCAGTATTACAAATTTACAAATTGAGTTTTTTTCATAGAGAACGGAGTACTTCTATTATAATAATAAACTACTGTACTATTATATGACAGTCTTCAGTAAATAAATAAATGGAAAATTTGCAAATTGCAGCCATTTAAGGTTTGTATTTTGCAAATTGCAGCCATTTAAAAAAAATTTGCAAATTGCAGCCCAAAAGTTCATATAAATTGTAAATTGCAGCCCGATTCAACTTTTTCATCGGTTTACAAGTTGAAAAATCTTCGATTAAGGTTTTAGGGGGCATTTTAGACCTTAGGGAACCGAATTGAGCCCGAAATTAACAAAAAAATAACGCAAGTATCTCGTTTGCGTAACAAAAGTGTATCGATTTGTGGGAAACAGTAAATATGAGATACTTACGTTATTTTTTTTACTAATTCCGAGCTCAATTCGGTCCCCTAAGGACTAAAATGACCCCTAAAACCTTTACCGAAGATTTTTCAACGTGTAAATCGATGAAAAAATTAAATCGGGCTGCAATTTACAATTTATACGAACTTTTGGGCTGTAATTTGCAAAAAAAAATTAAATGGCTGCAATTTGCAAAATATGAAATTTAAATGGCTACAATTTGCAAATTTTCCTAAATAAATAAATTAAATTAAATAAAAGGGCAACTCAGTGTAGTACAAACCATTCCAAGAATTCAAAGTCTCAATCAATGCCATTTTTTGCTAGAGAAGTTGCTATATTATTGGTTTTATTTTTCATTAGGCAAAATTACAATCACATGAATTATTTGGTCCAATTATAATTATTACCATAAACATCTCTATGTAATACGAGTACAATTAACTTGGACATGGTCATTTGATCACTAGAATGAACTTGGTAGCTAAAACTAATAATGTCATCACCGGAATGGGTCGCAAGGTCGTGTCATCAAATGTCTTTACTCTTTAATGATCAAAGCACGCCATTAAATTAAATGCCTCAAATGTTAGGGTCTATTCTCATTGACTGAACTAAACTGAATTGAATTGAACTGAACTGAAATGAATATTTTATAAGAGAAGGAAATTAGGAGCTGATGTGAATCGAACTGAACTGAAAATAAACGTATGAGAACAGACCCTAAGTTTATGTCAATTAAATTATAAAAACAAGTTTTGTATTTTATTTTTTATTTTTAATTTCTTTGTACATGTAGTATGACTTTTTGAAGAATGTAGTATGCCTTTTAATATTGTATGACTTTATTCTTCTTATTATTCTTCAAAAAAAAAAAAAGTATGACTTTAGATAGGTTTTAAAATTAACTCAAGTAATGTAAATTTCATAAAAGTTGATACTTAGATATATATTTAAATATCATGAATCAACATGCTTTTATCTAAGGCATTTGTTAAGTGGAAAGGAAACAAATAAATAAGAAGGGGGAAATGAATCATTTAACTATCACTTTTTCATTTGTTTGGTTTAACCATGGAAAGGAATCGATTAAACTTTACTATCTTTATTGTTTGTATTTGAGGGTAAGGGTATTTGCTACGCTAAGTTTTTGAGAGATAACAAATGAGAGGTAACCATTACCCTTAAGTAATGGTAATTGTTACCAAGCCTTCTAACCAAACACTCGATGACGGTATCGGTTTATTAATCCAATCCATTTCTAATCCAAAAAATACACTACCAAACATGCAATTTGAGTAACGCTATTAAGCAACTCCAATGGTTGCTTTTAGGGACTAGCTTGCAATTTTAATAATTTTCAAACTAATAGTCAAACCATTGGAGGATAGTTTAATAATTAGCTTGGCCAAGCTAATGCCAAGTAAGCTAATTAGCTTAGAAATTAATTGTCTCTAATAAAATACTAATTATTTAAAAAATAAAGCTGAAAAATCTAAATGTTAATTAGCTTAACCATTGTGGCATAAATTAGCTAGAAAGAAGAATAGCTTTGCAATCCTAGGTGGCGTGGCAAGCTAATTTGGCAATTAGCTTGCCGTTGGAGTTGCTCTCCCAATTTTGTTTTCAACGAACCAATGAAGAAAACATTGAAAGTTTCAACTAAACCCTGGATATTATTCTAACTGATTCTACTATGGTTTTTCTTGTTGAAAAGACAGGAGTATTAAAATTTCATCAACGAACTACCCAGTTATCCACCGCAATTATAGAGGACCATGAATTAATGCTTGTACTTCATGAAAAATATATACTGGAGTACATAAATAACAATATACTCCCTCTTTATTGTTTTTTCTTTCTTTTTTTCTTTTTTTTTTTAAAAAAAAAGAGATAATGTTCTCCAAGAAGAATAAAAATAAAAGATTGAGAATTAATGAGCATTAAGTACACAGTTCCGATTTACGCGTATTTTTGTGATAGAATTTTAATTAAGACTACATAAAACATTATCCATATAACATAATTTATTTGATTTTTTTTATTTTATAATGTACAAATAAAAAATAATTTTACAATTTGTTAAATATTTTTGAAGTGCTATATAAATTTGGTAATAATTAACATAAAATATTAAGAGTCTTATTACGTAAATATTTGAATAAAATCGTCTTAATGTCATAAGATTACCTGGTAGGTGGATGAATTGGGCAAAGGCCATGGGTGAGATAAAATGAGATAGGGTCACATGATTTATTGACTCAAATCACAAAATTGGTCTTATGATGATAAGTATGGCATACACACTCAATTGATGGAGTATCATAATTAATAATTTATTAAATTATTTTCAATAAATTTTGTAAAATTTTGTAATTAACTTTTTCAACTTTTTACAAGTAAAAACTCATCGCATTTTAGTAAATTGATAATTTAAGCATGATTAATATATATATATATATATATATATATATATATATATATATATATATATATATATTTTGACAAGAAGAAGAATATTATCATTAATAAATAGCCATACGACATCTACAACAATAATAAAATTTTGTAAACCACAGATCTAGAGAAAATAACATAACTTTTACAATCAAAATCATAACTAATTTGCATATCGGGCATAGCTCACACTCCACCGCTTCAAACTTGACTCGGGTAGTGATTTTCGATGTCTTTGCATCTTTCCAAGTAGAGACCTTCGCAATTTGCGCTGATGTTTTTATCATAGAGACCTTCGCAAGTAGAGACCTTCCCAATTTAATTTGCTTTTTTGTTATTTGATTTTTTTTTTTTTGAATAATTATTATTTGATTTGTTAAGCATGATTAATATATAACCCTATTAATACTCATCATATATCGTTATACCCTTGTTTTTGTTCACCTTAGCTTATTTAAACTTGTTTTAGGTCTCATAAATTCAAATAAAACAAACTCAGTAAAAATAAATTTTGATTAGGATTACCAAGTTCAAATTACAACTAAATTAGGTTTAATAAGGTGTAATATGTTTTGATAAATTAAAATAAGTTCAAATAAAATAATTAAGTGTAAATTGGATAAATAAAATACACCCTTAATTAATTACTACCTCCGTGGCTCCGTCCCCGAAAGAACGACCCATTTGGCCTAATTTTAGTCCCAAAAAGAATGACTCATTTGCATTAAAACACCCACCAATTTGCAACAATATTTGTACAAAATTAGCTTCCCCATATAAAAATTTGATTTTCCATGTAATTTTATTACTTTCTCTCTCTATTTGTTTACAAATCCCATGTAAATTTATCTTTTCAATATACTTTTACTTCTTTTTATTTAACTTTCTTAATACCCGCGTAATCAACCAAAATGGGTCGTTCTTTCGGGGACGGAGGGAGTACAATATTTGAATATTTGATGTCATGTTTATGAGTAAATAAGTAAATAAGTAATACAAAGATTTAATAAATTCTATTCCTACCCTTCTCCCTTTCCTCTTTTTTAAAAAAAAAATAAATAAACAAACAAATTTTAAATACTCAAACTTAAATATATTGTTCAAATCTCATTCACTTCAAACTCATATCTATCTAGCTCTATATGGGCCTGTTCTCATTGACTGAACTCAGCTGAACTGAACTGAACTGAAATCAGCTAAACTGAATTGAATTGAACTGAACTGAACTGAGCTGAACTGAACTGAAATGAAAATTTTATAAGA